CCCTGGGGGACAGACAACAGAAAAGTGGGTGAAGGGAGACGTCGGACAGGGCAAGATATGACAAAATAATAATTTGTAAATTATCAAGGGGTCGTGACGGGGGAGTGGGGAGGGAGGGGAATAAATGAGGACCTGATGCCAGGGGCTTAAGTGGAGACAAATGTTTTGAGAATGATGAGGGCACTGAATGTACAAATGTGCTTTACATAATTGATGTATGTATGGATTGTGATAAGAGTTGGATGAGCCCCTAATAAAACGATTAAAAAAAAAATCTGAGTCCACGCAGTTAGGTGAACCCCAAGAGAGGCCTCTGTCTCCACAAGTAGTCTCCCTGGCAGGCTCACTGGAAAGGAATGGCCAGCACGCAGCTGCCTCCACAATCAGCCTTTCTGTCAACCACTCAGCATGAGCACAGGTGACAGGACAGGCCTGAGGCCCAATGTCCTGCCACACCCCTGTCCCCAGGGACCAAGCACTGGCAAATTCCGGGCAATGTAAAGTAACAGGTTGGGGCAGAGGTGAGATCACCTCTTCCTTCCCATCGAGGCAGCCAAGAGCCCATGGGCCCTCGACGCAGTATCACAAAATGATGCATGTGGGCCACTTCAGGGGCGAGAGGGTGGGCGGGGAAGCAAGGGACAGGGACTCACCTCCCTCAGCAGCTGGATTCCCTTCAGCTGGTCTTGCTGCTGCTGGGCCACGGTGACCCCCAAGACGAGCGTGTGCACCACGCAGGAGACCACAGAGAGGATCACAATGGGGCTGAGGCTGAGGGGCAGCGTGATGAAGAAGGAGAAGACAAAGAAGGCCTGCCAGCCCACCGTGTCACTGGCGGCGTGGGCGCGGGCGAAGTTCAGGCCCAGGTAGGAGAAGATCTCCGCTGTGATCAGCAGCCACAGCAGGTAGGGCACCACTTTGCGGGTGACCCGATCGGGGAGCAGCGCTTTTTTGCAGAGCACGAAGAGGAGGATGTCCAACACCAGCCCGATCCCGGCGACGATGAGGGCCGCCAGCGTGTCTTTGGAGAAGACCACGGCGCACATGACCACCACGTAGCAGTCGAAGAGGGCTGCGAACACCACCAGCACCAGCAGGGTCTCGTGACGCTGCCTTTTGAAGTAGGTCTGGTAGAGGTTCTCCAAGGATTCGGGCACGAAGGTCAGGCGCATGAAGCGAGGCAGGCACAGGCAGGACCCCGAGTTTCGGACGGAGATTTCATGGGTCCGGCCCACCCCGCGGTCAGGGTCAGAGGGCAGGCTGACCGAATACTCGGCTGAGTACTCAGCCGAGTACTCGGGGTCGGAGAAACCCTGGTTCCGTGGCATCCTCGCCGACGTCTGTATCTACTGACCCCGGAGAAGAAGGCTGGAGGCCACCTACAGAGCTCTCAGAGACCTGGGGACAGCTGATGGCTCCTTCTGGGCTGGGGCTGGGGGACGGCCACCTGGGGCAGGAAAGGAGAGTGGGTTTGCAGGTTACTGGGCGCACAGCATCAGGAACTGACAAGAACAGCCTCCCTAAGGTAGAAAGCAGCTTTTTTCCTTGCTATCCTGTGGTTTCCCCATGACCGACTCCGGAGGAGGGCCTTCCCCACCACTCCCTGGCGCACACCACCACCTACCACACACACATTTTGGCCCAGGCCACGCCAAACTCCGTTTCCTGTCTCGGGCTTGTCGAGAGGCCTGGCCAACCCCCTCCATTTCATGCACCCCTACTCTGCTCGGTGCCATCCCTGCTCCCTCAGCCCCTGACTTCCCGCACCTCCATTCCTTCCAGGCCCAATTCTTCCAAGCTGAGAATTCAAGGCGTTCCAGATGGAAACGGGTGCCATCCTGGGGAGGTTCCTGAATCTTCCTCTGTTTATTTCCGTTCTCCACCCAGCCCTTGGAGACTCCGAGGACGATCCTCGGAATCCCCTTTCCAACCCGGGCGCCCTTCCCACCCCTCCCTGCACTGGGTCCCCCTCCCCTGAGGAGGGCAGGCTCGGCTTACCTGTGCGCGAACTCGGGCACCGCGTGGG